CATATGTGGTGGACATGTGAAATAAAGAATGGGCACTGATTTTTAAATAAATTAGAGAAATTATTGGATATAACATTTAAATATCATCAACTATAGCCTTATTAAATATAATTAATAACCACATTAAAAAAGAACAAAGAGTTAATTAATGGTCACAGCAGCAAGACTAATATTTGCAAAGAATTGGAAAAGTGATAAGCAAATTAATCTTTAAGATTGGTACAAAGAATTGTGGAATTTAGTTATTAATGATAAACTAACATGTGAAATGAAAGTAAGAAGGGGAATAACAAAATATGACTTTGAAGAGGTATGGAATTTGTATCAGAAATATGTATTTGTGAAAGGGAAAGGTCATAAACCATCAAAAGAATCTATGTATTTTATTTTTTTTTTTTGGAGTGGAATGGGGTGAAAAAGGATTAAAAGGATATTTTGGTCACCTAATCTGGAGGATGGGAGTGGCACAGGAGGGGAACTATAGGCTTATTGTATGTACACACATTTTATGTTAGTGTTGTCATTATTAATTTTCTTTAATTTTTTAAAAGGGTTTTGACAGATTCTGTCTCTGTGGCTTGAAATATTTCTATTAATATTTTATCTACTCCTGGTGATTTATTACTTTCTAGTGCTTTCAGAGGAGTTTCACTTTCTAGAACTGCAGCTCCATCATCATAAGATTCCTCTTCAAAGGAGTCTCATCATCCTTTTTTTCCTGTACAAGTTTTTAGTGTGTTTACACTTTTCAATTTTTTCCTGGTCATTCATCATTCTTAATCTAGGCTCAAATTTCCCTTGTTTTCTTAGATCTTCTGGAAGAGATCTACGTTTCCCCCCTTATGTTGTTCTCATCTTTCTTTGCACTGTTTTTTTGTGATAGTTCTCTTTGTCTCTACATGACAGTTGCTGAAAAGCTGCATTCATGGTTTTGACTCTATTTCTGTCACTTTTTACTTCCCATCAGTCTTTTGTAATTTTAAGTGTTTCTTCCATCATGCATCAAAGTTTATATTTTCTTATTACTACAGGGATTTTCTCTTTGCATTCCCTAATAGTATCTCTGGTTTCAAACCACAATGCTTCTGGTTTTTGATAAATTGAGCTTAGTAATGCAAATCTGTTCCTTATGTGGACTTTAAATTCATCAACTCATGGCATTTCAACATTTTGAAATGATCAGAAATCCTTGTCTCACAAAATGAAAGAAAAATAGACATTACATAGATTTGTAGCCCCAGCTGCTTTATTCACAGTTTTGGTTTCACAGTACAGAGGACTTAGAAGGCCCCACCCCAGAAAACAGAATTAATGTCGACAGCATTTTGTGATCACACAGAATAAAAACAGCATGTTGTGATTGTACAGACTAGAGCTTCAGTTCTGGAGACTCTTGTGTAGAGTCCTGAAAGCTCAGGGGTGGGTGGAATGACAATAAAACATTTAACAGAGATAATTCTTTCTTAGCCCCAAGGTTTAACATGAGAAAACAGGACAATCTGCAAGGAACTGAACGGATAATAGAAACACACGCGATATCCCTTCTTCAAATGGATGAGCATGATATAAAGTAGTATCATTAAAGCAAATGATGCTACTGCAAATCTTGGGAGGGCCAACATTCAAAAGGCAGTAACATTAATGATATCAACATTTCCTCTGCATTGAGGACATGATGCCAGAAAAAACTGCTTCCAATTATTGCAGGATTTTAGTCAAAACTTGGGAATTCTAGGAAAGCGTCCATAAACAAGGCCTTACTTTCATTCAGATCTTCTGCATTAAGTTAAAAATGAGGAACATTTTGAGACACATGGGGATAATAAAGCAGCAAAATGACACATGAGCAAGGTGCTTCAGTTTACAGAAACCTCCCATATTCTCAAGCCTCTAAAGAGTAGGAGCTCAGATATGTGCAGACAGAACAGCATTCTTCCAACGTACAATATACTACTGAACAATTCTGAATGTAACAAATATCCAAATTTATTGCAGCTATTAACATTTTAGAGATTATTTTTCTTTTGAGTGGCATCTCTAAAAATATGAATTGCTTTCAGTCCTGCATGGCAGTGCCAAGGTTTATATACTGTCCAAGATCCAAAGAACTTGCTTAGGAGTGCCCATTTGAACAGGCCAAGATTTTAAAAAAATTGTTTTGAACGTCAACTCCCAGTGCCCAAAGACAAGCTGCTGTTCAGAGAAACAGGGCTGTAAGAACGTGGGTTGCTGTTTATGAATCACAAATCCAATCTCTCATAAGATGCCTGGAATGTATTTCCTTGGATCTAGGCCACTCCTTATGAGCCTAGGTAGTGAATTCTTCAACTCACTGTTGAGGATTTCTCTCTTCTACTTTAATTTCATTATGAAAAAGAGTAAAGCATGCTTAATCTCCATTCAGGCTTGACTCCAGAGATGTATGGCATCAGTGAAGTAGCATCCCCACTTGTACGAGACATCTCTTGCAATTCCCGCATGTCCCCATCCTGCTTGCACCTCAAATATCATTCCAGAATGCACTTTCTCCCTATGGTGCAGCTGGGAGGTAGGAAAGACTGCACAGTGAAGTTATGCTCATTACTCTCAGGAACAAATTCACTTCATGTGCACAGCACTTCTCATGCATATTTAAAAATACTTTAAAAATATTAAGGCATTTATACATTTTCGTTTTTAAGTACACCAAAGTACTTCAAATTCACTGAATATTGCAATCCTGCACAGGTATGCCGAAAAGCCCTATCATGTGCAAAAGGGCTGACTCCCATAAAATTGTGCACAAGAACAGTTGTACTTAAATCGCAAGTCTCTTTTGTGTTGGAGAGACCAATGAACTTAGTCTAGATACAACACAATATATTACATGCTCAAGTAATAAAGTAGCCTATGGTTTGGCAAGATGGAAGCACTGCCCATATTCCTATTTGGACATTTCTGGTTTACTTTGAAAAAGCAACTCAGGAACATAAAACCCACTCCAATGCACATGTGGTCCTGGCTTCTACATTTTCCAATGTTGCATCTCCACTTCTAGATTTACAGCAGAAGTGTCTAAAATTATAAACACCTTCTAAATATCATCCATGTTTTAAAAAAGAACACAGCCAGACTTAAAGACTTTTTAAAAAATCAGTATGATCTTCACTGTATTTACAGGTGGCAAAAACAAACAAACAAACAAAAAACTGGAGGGCAGTCCAACTAGCTGTCTAAATCTATTGGATTACAACTTCCATCACCCCCACCCAGGCTTTCTGTGAGCTCCAATAAGTCCCAGGCCATTTGTTATTGTGAGGCCATCTCATTGTTTGAGGAGTAAAAAAAATAGTTGACTGTAAAGAATGTCATGCGAAAAGGGCTTAAAATGGAGAATCATGCAACCCTGCCTGACGTGAGATGTAGGCCTGCTGGCCCTCCTCTCACAAGGCCTGTTCCTACCCAGCCTGGGCAGGCATATCCACATGTAAAATCTTCAGGTTTCAGACAAACCATTTCTTCCTTATCAGAGGAATGCTTTGCTCTTATGCTAAACATTCCCACACTTTCTAGCAATATCCTTCATCAGGTGTCCATTTTCTATTCCCAAATCCCCTCAGAATCCCTACAGTGCATTCTGTCAATCTCATGGGTGGTTTTAATACTTTGAGAACTACTTCGGGCATTTTGACCAGAATACAGTAAACCTCTTAAAGGAATATTAGGCATGCCTGTGGTTTAAAACAAGTCACTTATTAATTATATTAACAAGAGAATGATTAAAAGTGAAACCCATCAGTTCTAATCAGTGCAGTCTTTTTGTTTTATTTACAAAAGTAGTAAACAGTGTGCCTGTAATTTCTGAAGTTGGGTTTGTGCAGTCGTTCGTGCACTGGGAGCAACTTGGTTTTGGACATAATATATTCACTCTCCCCACCAGTCTTCAAGTCTAGAAAAGTAAGATATCCATTACTTTGTTCTAAATTAAAGCTTTTGAGTAGAAGAGATGAGTATCCACAGGAGCACCAATGCCAGTGAACACTGTTTTGAAAGGGCCACGGCAATGTGCGAAAAATGACTGCCGATTTGCTTGTGTAGCACAGACTTTGGGACTTGGCAACGCTTTCCCCGAATTTTCAAGCACTGCTACAGCATTACAGCACAGTTTAATCATGACACTGGTGAGTTTCCAGGCCTTTTGATTTTATCTGCATCATTGCTAGTAAAACCTAATTCTATTGTACAAATGTGATCTGTGCCAAATATAGAAAGAGGACTAAGCAAGAGATTTGGGCCGATCAGATGATACTATTCTTAAAACAAGGTATTTCACAATGAGGACACTTCATGGATAGTTACAGACCCCTATGGCTTAGGAAAGGTTGCGCTAACATATTCCACTGTGACTGTTTATGTAATGACAGGAAGTTGATGTTACATCTTTCACAGTTTACTGCACTACTGTCTCCCTTGGAACTGCCATTTGCCACATTACAAGGAACCTTTTGCAAGATTAACTCAGACTATTACTAACTGGATTTATGCAGGTTTGCAAATACCAGTAGGCAATTCTCCTAACTGCTGAAAAGAGATCAAATATTCTGTAAACTGTGCCAATCAGGAGGGCAAGTAGAGTCTTCAAGTAATTGCTTATTTTGTCTGGAAAGGGGGTTGGAATTGAACCTTGACATCTCACAGCATTTTACACCAGTCAGTGCTAATTGACTTTTAACTGCAGTTCGTTTTGCCCGCAGCTATTTCCCTGAATCCATCTGCACTCAAGGGGGCATCAGAGCAATACAAGTGGTCAGTTAATTTCCCACCAAGAACAGAACAGCATGTGGTATTTAAAAAGTACTTATGTGTAATAAACACTATTTCTAAGGCACATGATAAGAGATTGAGTAGACAAAACTAACTGCCACACAATGACAGTTCTGATGAGCAAGCAGGCAGATGTGTAGTCCTTTCCTCATGGCTATACAAAAGCCGACATCACTCATCAATGCACCCAGTCTTTTGGATTGCGCAAAACTTCCAGGATTTCTGCTTCCCTGGAATTCTCTGGAGGCGAGTGCATATATTCCCACCTATACACAAGAAGATGAAAAGAAGCAGTTAATCTTTTTCTTTCCCTCAGTATTACAAATTATAACATATTTCTACAAACCAAATAGAAATAACTATTTAGTGGAAGAACCATTTCATGGTTATTTCTTATCTGTTTTGATTACACACTAAACATTCACTATTGTGGATATTAACTGTACTTCACATTCTAAGGCTGAAGTGGTAACAATCTTCTTCTCAAAGAAATGGATTTCTTACACATTGTATCCATTTTTCCATTGACATATTTCTTCACTTAGAAGACATAACCAGCAAAGGAAACCTACCCTCAAGATGATACTAATGAAGTTTTATTTAAACTATCCCCCCCTCCTCTCCACAGTTCATGGTGGCTCAAGATATGCTTGACCCAATTATAAGGCTGCTTGTAATTATGCCTCAGAGTGGCCCTTACTGACAACTGAAAACTTGTTCAGCAACTGTTCTCATAATTATGCTCTTACCTAGCAGTGAGGGGTAAAGACATAAGAATGCTTTCAATCCTTGATCCTGGTGTGGCAAGACCAAACTTGGTGCCTCTGTCATAAACAAGATTGAACTCCACATATCTGTCAGAGAGCACAGGGAGGGAAAGGTAAACAAAAAGAAGCATTCCTGTTTCCCTAAATTGCATCATTTATTCTGGCTTCATCAATCATGAAAGAAAGGTGCATTGTGGTGTACTGCATCCGAAGATTTGAGGAAATCCTACGCAGCGCTTGCCCTATATTTTAAACTACACAAGGTACATCCATATATTTTCAGGTCTATCTGCGTAAGCAGCTATTTAAAACAGACACACTGAGGATCCTAGTCTGTTAAATTCAGTATGAAACACCAGATCTCCATGTTTCCACAGAATCTCTTAACACATTAGCCCATAAACACAATAACAGTAGCTCAGAAGAGAAAGTCTGGAATGCAATTCCTTGGTTCAAAGGTTTAGCTGAGAAACAAAAGAGTACTAATGTGATAAGCATCTCAGCACCAACTCCTGAAAAGAACAGGAAACAACCAATGTTTTTGGCATAATTTTGGCACTCTAACATCTGACCTCAGGTTTCCTGGCACTACAGCATAATCTTTATTCTTTATTAAATCTCTTCCCTTCATTTCTGGAGAAGAGACCATCTCTCTCACTCTCTATGGTGCGCTCACATTTTTACACTTTGCAAGGACTGTTCTTAGATTATTGTCTACAATCCTTAAAGGTTTTGAAAACCCTAGGTTTATATTCTCCTGCACTGGGATCCGTGTTGGGTAAAAAGCAGAAGGAAACAAAAGCCTGAGCTTCTAATTTGTGTATTTTTTACCAGGGAAGCCTGAACACAAACCAGCTCCTGTTCCACTGTGATATTCTGCAGTCATTCTAGTTATCTAAGCAGAAAACTGAACACTGCAAAATGTATCAACTGCTTCAGGTGCTGCAACTGACGATATTCACTTCATTTAAAACTCCCCATATAGTATAGCCCTCCTTATCTCTATGACCAGTCACAATGAGTCAAAAAAGAAGAGGAGGGGCTATAATGGTTGCAGCTCATGGCTTTTTGTCTTAATGCAAGGAAAAACAGAACTGTGATCAACACTAACAACTAGCCTAAGATTTCTCAAACATCTCAACAGTCCCTGGTGTATTTTTGGAAGCTATTTTAAACTTGTACATATTTAAAAGGCAGCTGTTACATAGCTAACTGTGACCTGTCAGTGGGAAAGCATTTTGCTAACAGTGAAATATTTCCAGTCAATTTCCACTGTAAAATTTCCCCCGGTGAGGGTGGCATCCAGCACTAACAATCTTTCTGGCAACAGAAGAGAATATTCGCATTGGCTCTTTAAAGGTACTTTACAACAACTGTTGTTTTTTAATTGTATTTTACAGTGGTTATTTGTAAACAGCCCTAGAAACTTTAAGGGAAATACACCATCTTTTGATAAATAATATACAAGTAAGTAGTCAAATATTCTACTGCATTTTCTGCCACAAATATGTAGCACAGTGCTCAACTTTGATATGACCTCTCCTTAACTAAGAAGATGATTCAGTCACTTTAAACTATTACGTTACAAAAGACCCAACATTACTCACCTCCCTCTACGGATCTGTTGCCACAACTTTTCCTCTGGGGTGAATTTGTCATGGCAGTGTTTCTTCACAATGGGAATGTAGCAAGGCACAATGGCTTGGGCACAACTCTGCACAAACTGAAAGACTTCTTCTTTTGAAGGTGAATCCAGATCATCAAAAAATATGCCTCCAACCCCTCGCCGTTCCCCACGGTGCTTGATGTAAAAATAGTCATCACACCTGCAACCAAAGTTGTGCAAGTGAGAATGAGAGAAGAGGCTGAATGAGATATGCATAAAGGGGTCTCGGCTTATCATTAGTATACAGCACCCAATGACTCTATCACAAGGAGATTTGGCCTTTGAGACCCAACAGGCTACTGAATGCCGACTTCCTAGTTGACCAGGAACAGAACTAACTCTACAGTGAGAGAGAAGCGATAAACCCTAGTCCAAGAAGTTTCTCACAAGGTGAGAGGAAGAGTGTAGCATTTTTGCAGTGGAAAGGGGACACAGTTACAGTCAATAGTGAATCAAGAGAGCTGGGCTTAAGGGACTGAACAGTAAACTGAATGGTTGTCTTGCTAGCAGAGCTTACCAACAAGGGGACAGCACCCAAACTTGGAAATTTAGATGCTGTCACCTGTGTCAAATAGACACCTGTGTCAAATAGAATCCACTCCCTTTTTCCAAATGTGAACAGGTAGTAATGGATAAGTTTGTCCCTTAGCTTCAAAGGAATAGAATCCACTCCCTTTTTCCAAATGTGAGCAGGAAGGGAGGGAGGCATGATTGCTCTTAAGTGCCCCTTCTTTCAGGTAGTAATGGATAAGTTTGTCCTTTGGCTTCAAAGGGATTACTAAGGAAAGTGCTACTTTTGAACCTCATAGATTGGTTGGTATCAATCATGGAATGTTATAGATATTATAAAAGAACTTCTGCAATATAGATACCATACTTTATCCCAACCCCTTGTTCCTTAGAAGAAAATCTGATTAGGCCTTCCTACATACCATTTCTTAAACTTTGGATATAGCTCTGGACCATGTTTATCACAGGCTTCTTTGAGTGTTTTGTGAAAATGAACAGCATCTTCTTTATTCAGGTAAGTTGGAGTAAGGTCTGTACCACCACCAAACCACCACTGCTTAGTACCTAAGAGAGGGAGAGACATCAAACAGTCTCATATATCTCTTACCTATTAAAACAAGGTACCATTTTTGTGCATGCATTCTTGTAATATATGAATAATCATATCAACTGACTTACTGACGCCTTTAAATTACACCAAGTACAGGACTACTGGGAACATAACATAAATGCCATAATTATATTTGTAAATGTATTTTATGAAAAATCCTGGTATTAAGAATAAGGTCAGAATAAGGAAAAATTAATACAGGTTATCTATTATTCTATTAATTTTTCATGCTTTTGGGTTAGCAAATATCACAAACTGAATACAACATGCCATACAAAAAACAGCCAATCATACAAGTAAGAGATAGCCTGTAACTTCTATTTCTTGGTTACAAAGTTTCTGGTTTATGCAGATACACCTATTTTGGGTATACATGCATATACAGCATGTGAGATTGGGTACCATAGCAACCCCAAAGCCTTCTAAATTAGCTGAGGGGAAACAAAAGGAAAATACTCAAATATTTCAGTCATTTTGAGTGCATCTTTAACATCAGCCTATTCCAAACAGCACTGGTTATTTGCAAAGTTTAGATTCAATGAAAATATTTTCCATCAAGTCAGGGAACGTAAGTTCCGGGGATAGTCTTTCCCAGATCTGTAAGAATGAAGCACAGATATCAATTTAAAAAGTTTTGAAGCTCAAAAATAATTCCTTAATCCACTGCTGCACTATAATGCTTCTCCTTTCTAGTTTGAGCCAATAATTCTTATTTTCATACATACATGTGCTCTCATATATATAATTTACATATTTCTGGACCTTACCATCTGCCTCCTCAATTTCAAAATATCTGTAGTTGAAGTGTATAGTGGGGACATAAGGGTTCTTTGGATGAATAACAGAGCTTACTCCCATAGCACAAAAAGGCAATTTTCCTAGAAAGTAAAATAAGTCTTGATCAACAGCAGAAACAATATATATAGACGCAGCTTTCGCAATGCAAGTTATATATATAACTTGCATCCCCAAAGCTACATCTGCCGACATGAACTTGCCATTATTTTTTTAAAAACACAGATAATTGACTTTTCAAAAAAGCAAAACTCATTATTCAAAACACATTTAAAAATCTAAATTCAGCACAATACTCACAAATAACACTGGGGTTTCCTTCCCCTCCCCATCTACTATAGTATTTGGCTACTCATAGTAGAAAGGACAATCCCCTCCCTACTTTCATTGGCAAAAGCAGTTTCTGCCAGCAGAAGTGCACTGATCAATACCAACCAGGATCTAGTAGAAGGTAAAAAGAATTATGTTGTTAGTTAATGTATCTTCCTGCTTATAGGAGTATTTTGAAGACTTTGCCTATATTCAGCGCCTAGAACACTGGTTCTTAACCTTGGGTTACTCAGGAGTTTTGGACTGCAACTCCCAGAAGCCTTCACCACCAACTGTGCTGGCTGGGGTTTCTGGGAGTTGCAGTTCAAAAACATCCGAGTAACAAAGGTTAAGAACCACTGCCCTAGATGAAGTACCACTGAATTCAATGGGACCTATTTCTCTGTACAGCTGCACAGATCACTTTATTTGCAATGAAAAGTGATCCTATGCAACTCAGCACTTAATCCACTAGGGCTTATCTCTGTGCAGCATCACATGCATGACCAAAGATCAAACTTCACTGAGGTCTACAGAGCTTTCCAGAACTTTGGGCCAGCCACTGGGGGAAGCTTGATAGCGAAGTAGCCAATCTTTAGATTTCAAGTCAGTCTTGAGTAATGTCTTACCATTAATGGACTTCAGAGTTTTCCCTCTGCTTCTCATCTGCTGAGCTGCTTCTTCTGAAAGGTGCCCAAAAACAACAGAAACATTGACTCCAGCCTTCTCAAAGACTTCACCATCCTGGAGTACACAGCTGATGCCTCCACCTCCTGTTAAACAGAAGAAACAGAATTTTCTTTCACTTCCAGTCATTTAAAAATATTAGACAATGTTATTCAAATGGCTATGTGTTCATAGAAATACATATCAAGGCCCATTTGCCTCCAAACCTAGGCAAGTTGGATTGTATAGCTCTCAGAAGGAGAAAACAAACAGTTTGAATTACTGGGGGAGTGCATTCAAAGGATTCAGGCTTTACTTTTTGTTATGCCATGCTTAGATAATATATATAGAACACTAGTGTGTGAGAAGTGCCCACAGGTGATCAAAGTCAGCAGTAAAGTTGATGGGTTTTTCATTAGCTCATTGATGATATTTTACCCAAAATTCAAATACTGGACAAAAAGATTGATAAAGCTTCCAATGTTGAGACATTATAAATTCACAAATATTATTTTAGTTAGTACATGCAATCTATTTAAAATTTGTTACTTCATGCAGATACAATTGCTGATGACCTGAAGTTCATAAAGAACACTAAAGAAAACGACCATAGTCAGAGCTACATGCTAGTACTGTATTAGGAAGAAAGGTAAATGACCAGTCATTTCTCTACAACTCATAAGTAACACATGGAAATACAGTCACTTACTCACAACCTCCCTAAACTATGTATTAACACATAAGTACTGTAGGTTCAACTGCTTCTTTTCTTTTTTATAATGTGGTGCTCTGTGATATTTCTTGTTTTTTTTTTTAAGTAGAGCCATGGTGTAGATCTTTGTTTCTTATCTCCTTCACACCACACTGCCAGCATAGGAAGACCTCCCATTAAATGTTTAATGCTTATCTGTAACTCCATCAATGCACACTCATTTTATGACTTTTTGTCTCTAAAAAATGGTTCCAGTTCAAACAATCTACCAAATACTGTATACTTTTATAAAACTTCTGCTCCTTTTACCGAACATTTTGTTACAGGTCAAACAGCTCCAAAGCTAGAGAAGAATTAAGCCAATAGATTCTAAGAAATGCAGAAACATAAATGAACAACTCTTGGGATCCAGCTCCCAATCAGCAATGGGGAATTTGTATATAAGGGCGATAACAGAAATTACTGTATTTCATCTTAGACTTTTTAGTGATGGCTAAACATTAGGAGTCAAACATTGGTATTAATTGGTTGTTGTGCATTTTTCAGGCTCTTTGGCCATGTTCTGAAGGTTGTTATTCCTAACGTTTCACCAGTCTCTGTGGCCGGCATCTTCAGAGCCTGAAAAACCCACAACAACCATTAGATCCCAGCCAT